ATTTTGGTGAGTTTTTGAAGATTGATGTAGCGTGACATAGAAAAATGTTTTTTCCCAGAAACGCAATGTATCTTTGAGAGGGAAAAGTAAAGATGGTACGCAGTACTTTAGTAGAAGCCATATATATACTCCTTTAACCGAGAAATCAGGAAAACAACTACACTTCTTTCTCTCCTTTAATGCATTTCTTCAAAATTATTTCGATTCAATCATTTAGGGTAAGGACACAAAATAGGGATTAGCGAAAATGAACTTCAACAAATATAGCTAAATTATTTTTCATTTTAATGCTCAAATTGAAAAGCTGTTGGCACTCAATTGCAACACAACTCTTTTAACTTAATAATTGAATCATTAATTATCTTTCTAGTCTATAAACTTTGACGAGGATATGAAATTCATCTATATTAAAAACTTTCATAAATTTTAGTCTTTTAAATTTTAAAAACAAATGGATATATTTCTTTTATTAATATTATTTGTGTTTAAAAAAATTTGCATATCAAATATGTTTCATAATATTTTATACGTAAAAAGATATAACTATAAAACTCTCTTGATAAAAAAATATAAATAAAAAATCTTGCTCAGTTCATAAATCTAAAAGATAACAAAAATTTTCATTAAGTTTATGACTGAATGCTTAAAGCGTGCAATTCGTATGAAGATTTAATACACACATAGATTCTGGGTCAAAACTTAAAGCTCTGCTTTTGATATTATTTCATAAGATTTTTTACCATTAGAGATATCTTCTGTATAAAAAATTCATGTTAATCTCACCAACGAAGATATCTTCTATGTATTAAACTCATGTTCTTGTTTTATTTGATGTAAAACTTTTGTATCCTAATCAAAATATAATAAGTTTAACTTTTGTATTGAATAATGATAATTTTTTTTTGAATAATATGTAAAAAGTAAAATTTATAAAATGATGTTTTAATATTATTTTTTTTATGTAGGTTAAACCTGAGTATCATTGTCATTATCATTGTGTCTCTGTAACATGCTTTTTTTAAAGCACATAAAAGTATTTTACATAAGAGAGTATAAGTATCTAGTGGGTGGATGATAGGTTGATATATTTGTAGGGTTGCGCATTAGGTATATAGGTGAAGATGATAAGTATTGTGATGAAGTGAAGTTGGAAATGAAGATGCATGATTGCAACTGTGGTCAATGGCCTAGTTTCTGCTACTAACAATCACTTTCTATCTATAGAGCCCTCGTCACATCTTCTTTTAATGTTGCACAATAATGTCACATCTAAGAATGTCTTTTTATGCAAAATACTTTTTTATATCTTTCTTTTACAATAACCTTAACCCATATTTTTAATAATTATTGATTTTTTTAATTTCTTTTGAAATATTTCTTAAAAGAAATTAAGGTAAAATTTACGTTTGAAATAATGATAAAAAAGAAATTTTAAATTTAAATCAATTAATACAATAAAATTTACATTCATATATACATTATAAAGTAGTTTTATTTATAAATTTCTAACAAAACTTACAATATATATAATAATAAAATTACCAGATATTATTATTATTTTTTTGCTAAAATAGAAAACATCGAAAAAAATATATATAATAAAATTAGGTTTAGTTACAAAGTATAGGGTTAAATATGTTTTTAGTCCTTAAACTATCAAAAGAATTTTTTTTTAGTTTATCTTTCAAACTAAGGTACATTTTGGTCCTTCTCCTTAAGGAAACCTTAATTTTTCGTCCTCCAAAATCAACGACGTTAAAAAGAAGATGAGGTGGCTAACATTTGGCCACGTGTGATGACATCTTTCCTTCCTAACTTTTGCCATATTGATAAGGGGCTGAACGATTAAGGGAATGGGAATGAAGGGACCGAACGGTTAAAAAAATATGGGTGAAGGGGGTAGAACGATTAAGGGAAGGGGGTAAAGGAGGCCGAACGGTTAAGGGAAGGGGGTAAAGGAGGTCGAACGGTTAAGGAAAGCGGGTGAGGGGGGCGAACGGTTCAACACTCAAGAAATTGTTCGATCCTCTCACCCCATTCCCTTAATTGTTTGAATCCTTATCAATGTGACAAAAGTTAGGAAGGAAAGATGTCATCACACGTGACTAAACGTTAGTCACCTCAGCTTCTTTTTAATCTCGTTGGTTTTGGAGGACGAAAAATTAAGGTTTGCTTAAGGAGAATGACAAAAATGTACCTTAGTTTAAAAAAGGAACTAAAAACAAATTCACTTGATAGTTTAGGGACTAAAAATATATTTAAACCTAAAGTATATATCAAAGTGGACAGAGAATTGGGTAAAAAGTATGTTTATGTGGGTAAGATTGAGAGAGATATGCCGGCATAGATATAGGCAAAAAGAAATGTTTGTATTGTACCATTTCCTGAAGTTTTGGGCGAAGGGAAAGGTTGTTAACACATCCATGTGAAAATTCTACCACTTACCATTATTTCCTCAATTCAAACAAAATTCCAATTCCACTGTCCCATCCAACTCTTGTCTATTATTCAACTCTTGTTAGATGCTTATATTCTATTTGCTCACATATTTCTACTCTTTTTCATCCACATATAATATCATTTTCCTTCCATTTAAAGGAAAACATTAAAGAAACTTTAAATTTTTTAAAATAACAAATATGTATTGCTTTAAAAAGATTTAAGCCATAAATAAAATTTATTAAAAACTTTAGTTTGTATAGATATGACATATAAATTCTGATATATATATATATATATATATATATATATATATATATATATATGTTGTGTTTTAATAAAATAATATCACTTTTACAAAATAATATTAATAATTACTTTTAAAATGAAATAATATAAGTTTCAAGATAAACTAATCTAAGTTTACTAAGATCATGAGCTAATCAAGTCAAGACAAAATTAAAATGCTTTAATTTAAATAAATTAATTTTTCATAACAGTCCAACCTATTTAATAAACTATTTAGATGGTTCAATGGATCAAATCTAACAGCATGTCTAAGATTTTCTTATTTAGTAAGGTTTATAAAAGTGCGATGATACTTTAGACTTAGTCTCAACAGGTTTAGTCTTATTGTTATTCGTAGACACACATTATTTCATAAAATATATTAAATATATTGAAAAATGAGTTCAAATGAAATATATTAACATAAGAGACACTTTTAAATTTATTACTAATACATTTATCAATATTTTCTTGTATGTGTTTGCTTGAAGACGTATCAATAAATGGAGTTTAGCCAAAAACTCCTTTGATTGAAATAAAACCCTCTACGAACATATAGAGGGTTTTATGTTGCTTTTGAATTGAATTTTTTCTTAATTTTATTGTTATCCTTATGTCTCCATTTTACCCGCATCCTGTGAAGAGAAAATAAATGATAAAATGTTGGTATGAAACAAAATAGAAAATAAAAAAACAAGGTTTTATATTGCATATTTATTTTGGTGTTAAGACAAACATTTTCCAATTACTTGCCGATATATAAAGCAAATTTATTTGATTCAAAGATTGTCCCGCTGCCAATTATCTTTTTGTTAATTAAAATTTTAGCAGAAGGTGCTATAAGGATTTTTCTAAAAGCATAGGAAATTTCTAAACAAGTTAGAACCAAAACGAGTTTAAATGAGTTACACAAAACATACCTAGTTAACTCAATAATATTTGGAACTAACTCCCAAAAATAGGTATTTAAACCTAAACACTTTCGACCCATCCTATAAATAGAAATCAAACAAGCTCATATCCTACATAACAAATAAATAAAGTATAGCTTTTCAATAAATTTTATAAGAAATACCTCAAACCCATGTACAAAGACAACCATTTTCAACTCACCATTTTCTTATGATGAAAGTTTCTTGTATAAAATATGATAGTTAAGGATAATTAGAAAGTTATATGAATCTACATTTCATCGTAGATATTTTAACATTGAACAATATAGATTGAACAATCTTAACAACTTTTAACAACTTATGTTTTGATGATAATAAATATGACTATACTTTTGATAATAAAATTACAATATGGTGACAATTCAAAGTGAAGGAACACTATATTAGTTACATTATTTTAGTCAAATAATTTAATTAATAAAATATTAAAAGTAAAAACTCAATTAAAAAATATAATTTTTAAATACTTAATAGACTATAAAAATTTAGTAATAACTTAATTGAAAATGACCAAATTTACAAACTTAATTAAACTTTTTCTTAAAATTTGTTAATTATCAGAAAGACGTCGAGTGTTGACTGTTGTTACTCCTTACTTAAATTTTATTTAATAATATGAAAAAACTACATGATTAATAAAAAAAGGAAACACGAAGTTTATTATGGTTTCAAAATAAAATAGGAGTTAATGTGGGACCATGCATTGCAGGTAGATGATTTTGAATCCCTGAAAAGAGAGATGGATTAAAATTTATTCAGGTAAATATATTAGATTTTCAATTAAAACAGAAAAATAAATAACGAATTTGATTATCATTTATATAAACGAAATGAATTTTAATGCTGAAATACAAATTTAACAATCATTCCTATAAATGAAGCATTTAAATGAATGCAAAATATAAAATTAATAAACTCCACTACCATTCATTTAAAATGGATCTTGAATCGAAACATTGAATGGAAAATTCAACCATCATTCTCATCTAAATAAAACGAATTCTGACTAAAAAAAAGGAGATGGATGTCACCATTGCTGTTGATACTTGTAATAGAGTTTAACTTAATTCCCTTAAAAGTATCGTGTAATGAAGCATGCGTCGTTATGTATCATGAGTATTGACTTTGATACAGTGAACACTCCTTTATAAGGTTTCTCTACTTAATTGATATTGTATATTAAATTAATTTTTTAATATCAAAGAAATTGTTTGGGAATTTGAAAATTTTAATGTTATAGTATTATACACCATGAAACATACAAGAAAGTCATGACTTAGAATAGAATGATAGTAGGAGTTTAATACATGGAAGCTGAAGGGACGAATTTTATTGGGGGAATGCATGTACGAGAGAAGAAATGGACAACTTAGAAGCCATTATTATGATTTTCCCAGTGTTTCCTCGGTGGTGTCGAGGAACGAAATGAAAGAATGAAGGTTGTTTGAAGCACTGTTTTGGTCTGCAAAATTGGTTTGCGTGCAGTTGTTGAGAAGTTCTTGGGAGCAGACTAGATGAAAAGGTTGGTCCGAACAAGGAGAGAATAAGTGCTGGTCGTTGCAGATATTGTTGAAATCGGAGTCGAGAAGATCAGAGAAGCAGATATCCCCCACGTTGAAATCTGTGAGCATGTCTGCCGAGAGCTGTTTTTCTTCATCGGGAAACGACAAGAAGCCATTGTTGTTGGTAGTGAGTTCCATCTGGACACTCATCACAGCATCCGCAACAACCTTTTCTTCTTCCTCGGACTTGTTGGGAAGTTGCAGCATTGATGGGTGAGGGAAAAACACCTTAGTGCACTTGGTGGCTTTTGTACGGACCAGGTGGGAATCTGGTTTAGGATTGGCCAAGTGGGGCATTGGATTCCGTGTGCTGTTTTCATTGCTTGGTCTGCGACAAAAGGTTGATGAGGTTTTGTGACCGTCTTTAACCTTTTTACCTAAATTGGTGTTCCAATAATTCTTTATTTCATTGTCTGTTCGTCCTGGAAGCCTCCCTGCTATTAAAGACCATCTACACACAAAGTAACACATTCAATTAACATCTTACTATTTATGTCCAACACATTCCTCTTCAATCCCTCTCATATGTAACACGGTAAAACGAACCGTTTCAGTGGTCATCACCTTCTACACATTTAACTTTTTATCTCATCATTAACTATTACTTTATCTCTCATCATCAACATTTTTAGTGTCATCGAAGACCGGTAATGTTGTACTTCTCCAACCATTTTCCTATAAATTTCTCTATATTTTCTTTACAACTCTATTGTCTTAGTAAAACACATCGAAAATTAGTACAAAAAAAAATGAATATAATTTGGAGTAATTTAAATTTATTAATGTAGGTAAGAGATGGAGCTAACGTTACTATGGTAAGAGGGAAGAAATTAAAGTAATAAATGAAGATAGGAAAATGGAGACCTGTTTCCGAGGAGGTTGTGGAGTCTGATAATGAGTTCTTCTTCATCAGAGGTTATATTGCCTCGCTTAATATCAGGTCTGAGATAATTGAGCCATCGAAGTCTGCAACTTTTGCCACACCTTTTCAAACCTGGTTGCATGTAAGTATTTGGTGTTTTAGAAAGAGAAGAAGGAATTGTGTTGTTGTAAGTATAAGGTAAAAGAAAGGAACCTGCTGTTTTGGGAAGGTTTCTCCATCTTCCTTCACCATGGACTGTAATGTATTCTCGGAGGATTTTGTCTTCATGAGCTGTCCAAGCACCTCTATTCAAACCCTCCTTTGAACAACAAGGGCTTCTCCCCATTTTTCTTTCTCTCTCTTTTTCTCTGTGGTTCTCTGCTAGCTAGCTAACTTTGAAACTGTTTGACAGTATATATGGATACTTATACAGCAATTCTTTTAGTGTGGTCCAACTTATATATGATCCGACTCTTGCAACTCACAGAAGATTCATTACACGTCATTCACGTTGCATATCTTCATTTCATCTCATTTCTCTTCACACAACGGACCAATCTTAGATTTTTCGACCAAATCATTCCTTCAAATCATTCATTGCGCCTCTCTGCTACTCTTTTCAGAAACTCATCACAAAATTATAATATGCGTTTCTAAAATGATTTAATTCATTAAATTATGATTAATAACATGTATTTTATGAAAGGTTTACTCTTAAAATACTATAAACAATATTTTAATTTTATGAAGGCCAAATTAAAATATTAAAACTTCAAAAAATAACTGATATAAGTTATATAAAAGGTTCATAGTTTTTATGTGTAAGCACATTATTTTTGTTTTTTTTATTCATCTCTATTTTCTAATGGTCAATTCAAATACATTTTCCTTTGTTATTCTGAGAGTATTAGAAATTGCTTTATTTATAAAGAGTTTATTGTTCCTTAATTATTGATCTTTTTTTGAAGCATATATAACTACTGGTATTAATTGGCTTCAACTCTAATACGGTTTTTCTCAGGTGAGAAATCCTATTTTAGGTAAAAAAAAAATAGGACTTTTGTCATGCGAATAAGTCTAATAGTTCAAATACGTATAAAAAAATATCCCAGAATTAATGATGAAATATTAAGCAGTATAATAATGGAAATAGTGAATGTAATACTTCACAAACAAGATATATTGGAGTTCAGATATATACTGTTTGTAGACCTTCAGTTTAAAGAAGCAGGCGTTGTTTTGACTAACGTGCACGTGAGGTTGATTTAATTCCCTCATTTATGATGTATCATACAATCTATGTTCCTTGCATTACTCTGATTAATTTTCTGGAGAAATCTGCAGTTTTCTCTGCTTTTGATTAAGTTTGTAGCCGAGATTCTTTCGACTCACAAAAATGGAACATCTATCCAACTACTTAATCTCTCTATCATTAAGAGAAAAGCAAAAATTATTCAAAGTAATGTGTTGTTAGATATTTTTGTTACCTAAATTAGGTCTCTCAAACTGACTTTCTCACGAACCTCTTCGTCTTGGAATGTTTGTTGCAGCAGTCAGCTCCAGGAATTTCTCAGACCAATATTTTTTATATTCTTAATAAATCAAATTTATTGCTAATAATCATCCTAAAACTTAACCAACTTATGGTGTAAACTGTTTTAGAATGAGAGGAAAATATAAATGTGTTATTTACTATTTGTTTTGGATTTAAACAAATTCAATAAAAAAAATGAATTCGAATGAGTTAAAATTATCATTTTTTTTTATAAGATCAGTCGATCTTCGTTTATCTTTAATCGGATTGGATTGAATTGAGGTAACTGTTCACAGATTTTGAATCTTTTGACCAGAATTTTAATACCAAAATAACTTTTTGTTACTTTTTTTTTAAATATATATAATATGTGAAGAATTAAATGATTTAATATATCATAAATATAAATTTAGTTATAAAAATAATAAAGTAAATTAGATAATAATTATATTACCATTGTTAACATTAACCTTATTTAATAATTTTGGTTGGATTCAATTAACGTTTAGTTAAATGTATTAAATCCATCTCACTTGTACGAATATAATAAGTGACATTAAATGTTGTTTGTACATTTAAAGAAGTATTATCTTCAAATCGTACTATTCGAAGTTGTAATAAATAAAATAAAATAAAATATATATATATGTCAACTATACGATTTATACTAGCATAGACGTTAATTTGTTTTAGTACGTGTATAACAATACAAATAAAAAATAATTCAAACCTGAACCATCTAAAACAAACACAAGATTCTTTTTTTTATATTTGATTTTTTGTAATAAGGCGTAAAATGTCTCAGGTCCAAGAATCTTATATAAATAAATCTTTATCTTTTTACATTTAATCACAACAAAATTGAGGTAAATAAATTTTTTCAATGTTACACGTCATAAATCTTCAATAAAATTGCATTGGAAATTAGAAAATTAGTTGTTTTCTTGATTTGGGTGAAACAATTCTAATGTTTGATTTGGATGAAGAATAGAAAGCGGAAAAGTTGACATACTATTCACGTTTAAATCTATTTTTGGTTTGGTCTTTGATCAAATTTAATTTCGTCTCTACAACTTATTTTCATTAATAAAAAGATAATTAAGTTATATAAGTGGGGTTTTTATTTTGTTCTAATAATTTCTTACATTTTATTTTCGTCCTCAGTAATTTTATTTATGTTTTGACCCCGTTGTTTACTGCTTTTTTTAGTGATGATTTGTCTATCATTTAATTAAGTCAATAATTAAGTGGAATTAACATGTGTATTTTTTAAACTTCTTTAAAATGAGACTCCTACTTAGTGAAGTATTTTGGATGCCTAGTCTTAACATGAACTGCCCAAAAATAAGCCATGTAAATAACTTGGAAGTGAATATTTTTCCTTTCCAAAGTTTTTCATAGCACTTCTCTCAGCATTATATTATACGTGTTATTATTATACAAACAGTTGTTTTTCATATGCATCTATATTTCTTTACTTTAATACCTGCCCATCAACCTCTGCAGAACAAAATTAAAACTTATGATCCATACCTTCCTCTCAAATACTAACTGATTCCCCCACCTTTGCTATCTTGTTTCTTAATTTCTGTCCAATTATCTTCACGTAATTTTATACTGTTTTGAATCTATTATGTTCTTATTGTAGGAGGAACCCTCCTCCATTCATTTAACAGTTTCTAGTATCTCAAGATCGAACTAAATGAATTGGTAAGCAAAAATAATACCTTGTTCTACACATTTGTAAACCTTAATGCGAATATCATAAGAAACAACAACTTTACCGTTATCCACTTTCTTTAAAGATTAGACATGTATATGTAATGGGGGGATGGGTGAGTATATACTACCAGGTTCACATTTGATAACCCTTGAGGTTAGAGAATGGCAAGCAATTTTTGCTTCCCAAATATGCACTAAATCTTTCAAATAGAGAACAGAGGTTGACAAGGGTCAAGCTAAACTCAAGTATGATACAAATCATCATAAAGGCTCCCAAAGGAGACATAGTAGGCAACGAAGAGGGAAAAAAAAACAAAGCCCCCCCCAGACTATGCTGTGGACATGACAGCGCTTAAGAGCTAATTTCAAACGTCCAAGGGAAATGTTTTATGTGTAAAATGAATGTAATATATGTCAAAGTATCATTACTCTTGCTCCGAGTGAATGCCTGAAGGATAGGCATTTTGGGTGAGAATGAAGAGGAGAAAATGAGACGTGTGAAAAGGAAAAGGGGTATTCACTATTACTGTGTATGACGTTTGCTCTTGTTCTCATTCATAAGCCATTATTTGCAAGAAAATTGTTTGGGACAATAGTCTAAACAGTAGACATGATATCATTATGATATTTTTCCACTAGATATTAACCAACAATTCAAGCAATAGACTAAAATTAACAGTTATTTTACACATTATACTTAAGCTTGGTACTATTTCATTCAGTGTCTAAGACACCTCGAACAGTCTGCTTTCTTTTTATGTAAGAATCACATAACCACATTTACAAGCGAAATTGGAGTTAGGTTCAATCTATCGGTCAGCAAAAAGCAACAAAAGAACAAGTAGGTAAAAATTACAGTCTAAACTCAAAAACAATGTGACCAATTCAGTGAATCATCAACACTCATTATTCAGGCAAATAAACATAACTGACAGTTACATTGCAGAGCAAAGCAATAACCTCTCATCAAAGGCTCGCACTCTGGGCAGGAGGAGGTGGCGGAACCACGTAATCAACAACGACCACACTGTCGATCTGATCCCTAACCTTGTCCTTCTGGTAATTCACCAACTCCTGATTCGAATCCACGGCCTCCAACTCGGTCGGTCCCGCGAAAACCGCGAGCGAAGCAATCGAGAAACCCTTGGCTCTCCCCGGCGAAAAATTCTCCCCAAAACTGAACTCACTAATCTGCTTGAAATTCTCAGGAATTCCTCTAACCACACCCAAAACCTCGTCTCCAGCCGCCCCCTCCTTCAATTTCAAGAAGCTGACACGAAGCGCCGAGCCCGGCGGCGGAACGAGGTTGCTGAGGCCATCGGCGACCCAATCGACAGCCATGATGTCGTCGATGATGGGGAGCACGTTTTCCTTGACGACGGTGACGTGGCTGGGGTGAGCGGAGTAGGCTTGGAGATCCTCCTTGGACTTGTAGCGGGTATGGAGCATGTGAGTGAAGGTTAAAGAAGAGGATCGGTTACGGAGGAGCGGGCCCACGCTGAGGTGGAGGACGGTGTCCAGCGACACGAGAGAACCGAGTCCGTTCACCAATTCACTAACCTTTGACGCCTCCGTCTCCTCCTTCACCTTGAAAAGGACAATGTGTTCCACCGTTTTTGCTGACGTCATCTTGATGGAAGATCTGAAGGGGCGTGCTTGAACCTTACGGAGCTGTCTAGAGGCAGAGAACGTCAGAGAAAAAGGATGTAACAACGGCGTTCTAAAACACAGCATCGTAAGCACGTATGGTCTTCCTTTGTCAGTGCCTTACCTTGGATCGATATCGCTGTCGCTGACGCCGACGTTAGGGCTCAGCATTTTCTTTTTTTTAAGAAAAATTAAATTGCTCCTTCTAAGGCCCGATTAATGTGCATGGTGGGCCAATGCCCCAAGTCAGCTCCGGCATTGCTTTAGCACCCCCCAAACGACTCCAAGATCTCCACTTTTTCATAAACAAAAAACCATTTTATGCAGCAACTCCTTTACAGATTTCATTTACCGGTGCATTTACGAGCAAACTCTCTGTTTGGTGTCAGCAATGAAATAACTTTTTCTAAAATGTTTTTATATTATCGAAAAATTCTCTGTTTTAAAATTTTATTTATCATATTATCGAAAAATTCATTATTTTCAAATGCTGTCAT